GTGTAAATAGGTATTTGCACTTAGTGTAAATAGCATATTGCTAAAAATACTGCTATTTTCACTTAGTGTAAATAGAATCCATTGCTAATATGAGATTTGAAAAGGGAGGAAAAAAAAGTTTGGCAAAAGGTGGGATTGAGCCCAGGTCGATCGCGACAAATAGCCAACAACACGAGCTTATCCATCTGCGTCACTGGAGCTGATTTTTTCTAGCCACTTTTAAAGTGTTGACTAGCCCAGTGGTTCACCAACCCTGGTCCTGGAGGTACCCCAACACTGCACATTTTGCATGTCTCCTTAATCAAACACACCTGATTCAGGTCATCAGCTCATTAGTAGACTCAAACACCTGAAATTGGTGTGTCAGATTTGAACTTACTTATATGCAGATTTGAACCGTTTTGTCGAACCGTAGTTACACGGGATTCGAACCGGAGCTCCTCGCCTCTCTAGTACGTCTCCGTACTCCGTGAGCTACCGAACAAACCTAACATTGATGAAAACCCATTCATATGAAGCTGGATATGTGCTTTTGGAAATTGCAGTGATATGTACTTATTGGTACGTATTTCGCATCTCGCGAAAATGTGCCCTCGGGTACGTTTTTGCCATGAGACCAGGTTGCATTAAAGACCTTTCAGACTTTTCAGATGCAACATTCAATCATATTTTCATTAATACTTTTTTGAGAGTAATTTATTTTTGCTTTGAACAAAATCGAACAATATAAATCTCAAAAAAGACCAACATTGAAATCGCCTATAAAACAAAACCAACAACATTTAAATATTTTAATGGAACAAAACCAACCGATATTTACACCTCTTAATAGAACTAAACCGACCAATATTTATATATTTTAACAGAATAATAATCGACTCATTTAAATAGAGTAAAAGTGACCAACATTTAAATCTCATAATAGAACAAAAATGAAGACATTTAAATCTTTTAATGGAACAAAACCAACCGATATTTAAATCCCTTAACAGCACAATAATTAACCAATAATTGAACAAAACAGACCAATGTTTAAATCTCTTAAAGGTGACATCAGATGAAATTTTCACTTTTTTTTTTTGCATTTAGTTAGGATTTTGGCATGTCTGCCAGCTCAGAAAAGCTGAAAAGAAAATGCAGCCAGTTTGTTTTGGGCTGTTTAAGTCTGAAACTGTGTCATCCAGAGAGCTGTTTCAATTTGCAGCCGGTTTCTATGTAGATAGCTAGCTATTTGAATAAAACCACCTCCGAGCCATATATGGAGTCCAAGGCAGCAATTCACGAGTCTTGTGTCGACACGCCCCACGGAAGAGAAGGGTGGGGTCAGCAGTGGTAAATTCAGTAGCACTGCAGCAAAGTAAGTAATATTTTACCTGTGCTGTGTGTTTGGAGTCTTGATTGAATGGGATAAGAGAAAGAGACTGTGCACTCTATGATAAATTCTACTAAGACGATACAAAGTAGACAACACATCTTTAATTAATCTGGCTACAGTCACTGTAGTGTTCTGATGGTGTCTGAGCAGTAATAAAACTCCGGGCTTGTGTCGCGATGCTTCTATGTGCAGTCCAGAATTGCTTTTGCATTAGAACTCCTAGTCTAGAAGTCGCTCACGGTTTTTAATTAGAAGTGTTTTGAGTCAGACTGCTTTTATTCCTAAAATGCTTTCATTTTAGTTAATATGTGCTTTTATTCTAGGCCTGCATTCAGTCTAGAAACGTTTCGAGTCATGAACTGCTTTCTCCCTGCAACTGCTGTTATTCTTGAACTGCTCTCAATTGTAGAATTGTTTTCAGTCCAAGCACTGCTTTCAGTCTAAAACTGCTGTTAGTTGTGAGACTAATGAGACTTATGGATTAGCTCATTGTTTGCTCACCCTTGCTCACCCATCCCAACCTTTCATGACTAGTGAATTTTCAAAGAAAACTTCGTTTTTTGGTAACAAATGGCATTGTTTTTGTATTTTTATTTAGCATACAGTGAGGACCAGTAGCTTCCTTAAAAGCGCTTAAAGTATCATTAATGGAATCACTGCAATTCAAGAACCAGAACTGTTACATTTCTTATGAATTCAATTTATTATCAACTTATTATGTTATATAAAAGTTATTATGAACTTTCTATTCATCAAATAATCCTTAAAAAAATGTATCACAATTCCATAAATAATATGAAGCAGCACAACTGTTTTCAACATTGATAATAATATGTAATGTTTCTTGAGCTGCAAATCAGCATATTAGAATGATTTCTGAAGGATCATGTGACACTGAAGACTGGAGTAATGATGAGGAAAATTCAGCTTTGCATCACAGGAATTAATTACATTTAGAATTACAATTTTTTTAAATTACAATTACAAATAGAAAACTGTTATTTAAAATTGCAATAATATTTCACAGTATTATAGGTTTTTTTTTACTGTGTTTTCAAAATAAATGCAAATAAATCAAATAAATGCAGCCTTGTTGAGCATAAGAGAATGACGTGACATGTGGCCAAGTATGGTGACCCATACTCTGAATTAGTGCTCTGCATTTAACCCATCCTAAGTGCACACACACAGCAGTGAACACACACCCGGAGCAGTGGGCAGCCATTTATGCTGCGATGCCTGGGGAGCAGTTGGGGGTTCGGTGCTTTGCTGAAGGGCACCTCAGTTGTGGTATTGTGGAACAGATACTGTCAGCACTGCTTATAATATTGCAAGCATCCATATGACATACTAATACCATATAGAAATGATTGAGTACAAAGCACTTTAGAGTTTTACGGAAATAGGTCTTACCTGGCTGCGATTGTGTCACTTCACACAGCAGGTTCACTGTTAATTTAACTGTTAGTTAGAACTCTGTTACCTCCCAATCTAAAGCCAAAACCCTCTCGTAATCATTCTTTAAGCATTTTAAAAGTTGTCCCTGTTCTACCAGCCGATATGAGCTTCATAATGATATCTCTGGGCAGCACAATCTCTCTTATGGAGCCGAGAGTGGGATCTGATCACCCTCAGCGCTAGTTAAAGGTTTGAGCGATTGACTCTCCCCTACAGCGCTTGATACTCAAAAACTCCACTTGCAAATGAGTTGGCGTACTGTGTTTATCCACCAGAGCAAAAATAAGCGGATAGAAAATGTTACACTACAGGTCATTTGAAGGCACGAAAATGCTTGAATTTTAATTGCATTTACAGGCTTTGCTTGAGGAGGAACACAAACCCAGACTTTTATAAGGTCGTCCAATTGATTGGATTGTTACAGTTGTGAACACAACAGCAAATTCACTGTCAGTCAATCAGTGTAGGAGGGTATTGTGTGCTCAATTATAACAAACAAAACACTGTCCGAGCCTTTAGTGACAGAAAACATCCAACAGAACCTCATACAGTCTAAAATGTGCTTTTGTTTCATCTTTTTGCAGGAGTACACCATCGACGTCTTTTTCAGGCAGAGCTGGAAGGATGAACGGTTGAAGTTTGAGGGACCGATGAACATTCTCCGTTTGAACAACCTGATGGCCAGTAAGATCTGGACTCCAGACACATTCTTTCACAATGGGAAGAAATCTGTCGCACACAACATGACCATGCCCAACAAACTGCTGCGGATTCAAGATGACGGCACCCTGCTGTACACCATGAGGTAACCAAGGTGTTGTTTGTACTGTTTTTATATCTCAGCTTTTTCAAGAGTTTCAAAAGATACCACACATAACATCATTTGGAAAGTGCTGTGCTTTTAAAGTTTCAAGTTGAAATTTTGTTCTCATCAGTGTCAGTGCAGTTAAATCGGTAATATTACTGAATATTAATTGTCTTTTATACTACAGGGCTGTTGAATGCTTGAATATGACTGGTTGACGAAATAAGGTGTGCAATTCTTTTCAGGGAAACGCATGGTTAAAGTAGTTCAAGGCAGGTTTTGACTGCATTACATGTCCATATCACTTCGCCAAACAATTTCAGTTATTTCAAAGGTCCTTACAGCCTACAACAGCAAAAGAACCAAAACCCACAATGACACTGACCAAGCAAATAAATATAGTAAACAATAGGATAAAGCTAAGATGACAAATTATTTCCATGTTTTTGACACAATATTATGTTTTATTATGTACTGAAAGCACATACTTTCTCCCGCTCTCTCTCCCTAACAAACGCACACACATACAGTACAGACACACACTCACACACACGGAAACATACCAGCCTGGTCTCATGTTTATACGTAGGTATTAATACGTAACATTTACAAGCACAAAACGTACACTTTTGTATGTTTTTATTAATGCTAAAACGTACAATTTAGATGTATTTCAACGTTTAAAACGTACAAATCGCTACGTATTTTTAGCTAAAAAACGTAAAAATATTTACGTATCTTTTATGTCATTAAGATATTCGTATCAATGCATTTTTTTCATTTTATCAATAAGCGATTTAGATTTTTAGACCCCTTAACCTACCCCCAAACCTAAACCTACCCATTTTATAGCGAGTATACAATTTTTTTAATCATTTTATTAATACGCAATTTAGATTTTTAGACCCCTTAACCTACCCCCAAACCT